GGTAGCGCGTGCCTGTAGTTCCAGCTACTTGGAAGGCTGAGGCGGAAGGATTGCCGGAGCCTAGCAGGTCGAGGCTGCGGTGGTTGGGAGCGGCCACTGCACTCCAGTCTGGGAGACAAAGTGAGACTCCAACTCAAAAAAAAAAAAGAAAGAAAAGAAAAAGTACTCCATACCTCATTGCTGACCATCACTATGGTCACCCTCGAAGTCCTTCCCTTGGGAAGCTGTGCACCAACACCAGCACCTAATCCACCCATCAAAGCAATTTTGGAACTCTTCTTTTCTGGAATGGCCATCAGACCCATCGTCATATTACCCTGAATGTCCTTGACCAGGAATACATCACATGTCTTCCTTTCAATATTTCCTTTATCTTTGGGCAAGAAAAAAGTCATTGGGGGCCAGATCAGGTGAGGAGGGAGAGTGCTTCAATACAGTGATTTGTACAGGGCTGCCCACATAAGTCCACTGTGACAAGTTTGCGAACTTAATTGTCAGACCTCAACAAGTAACAACAACAGCTCTGATGGCCACCCTCAGAAAAAAGAGTTCCAAAACTGCTTTGACAGGTGGACTAGGCACTGGCATGGCTGCATAGCTTCCCAGGAGGAGGACTTTGAAGGTGACTGTAGTGGTATTCAGTAATGAGGTATGGAGCACATTTTCTAGGATGGTTCACGAACCTAATTGTCAGACCTCGTATCTCAAATGACTGTTGGTTTGGGGACATAGTTGGGATGGGAGGAAGTATGATGCCCAACTGGAAAATAGACAGTGGGTCTAAATCAGGGCTTCTCAACTTTGACGCTACTGACATTTGGGACTGGAGAGTTCTTTGGGGGGAGTGATCTCCAAATCAGCAACGGGACCCTGATGTTTCCCGTCTTTGGTTTTCGGTCCATGACTCTGCAGCAAACACCTCTGCTGACCACACCTTCTCCTGGTCCAAGAATAACACCCCTGCTTCTTCTAGAAACCGCTCATTTCCCCCTCTACATTCATGTAACCCTAGATAGAGCTGGGTTTTCTTGCAGGGAACCTTCCTCATCACTGATCCAGAGGCCAAGTCACCCAGAAAGAATCCCAGTCTTCCCTAGCATTTGTTTGCTTGTCCATTTGTTTGTCTTGTAACAAGACAAGTCTGAAAAAGATGAGGCCGGGTGTGATGGCCCAGGCCTGTAATCCTAGCACTTTGGGAGGTGGAGGCAAGAGGATTGCCTGCCTCAACCCCCGGGGTTCGAGACCAGCCTGGGTAACTTGTCAAGACCTCACCTCTACAATAAATTAAAAAATTAGCCAGGAATGGTGATGCGAGCCTGTGTTTCCAGTTACTTGGAAGGCTGAGGTGGAAAGATTGCCTGAGCCCAGCAGGTCAAGGCTGCGGTGGCCATGAGTGTGTCACTGCACTCCAGCATGGGTGACAGAGGGAAACTCCGAATCAAAAAAAACCAAAACAAAACAGGGTGGGTCACTCTCCAGGAGTAGAATTCATGAGCCTCCACACTTAGTTCTTGAAAGCCATGTTCCCTGCCGAGTAGAGGAAGAGAGTGGAACTGACAACACCACAAACAGGTGTCAGACTGGAAGAGAGTGGACCTGACAACACCACAAACAGGTGTCAGAGAGGAAATGCATCGGGCAGAATTTCGGTCTCTGGTTCCATTTTTTCAATTTCAATCTTTTTGTTTTTGTAGAGGCAGGGTCTCATTATGTTGTCCAGACTGGTCTCAAACTCTTGGCCTCAAGTGATTCTCCCACCTCAGCCTCCCGAGTAGGTAGAACTACAGGTGCACAACACAACACCTGGCTAATTTATTATTATTTTTTTGTAGAGACCAAGTCTCACTATGTTGTCCAGGCTGGACTCAAACTCCTGGCCTCCTCCTTCTCAGCCTCCTGAGTAGCTGGGACTATAGGTACACACTGCCACATTCCGCTAATTTTGCTATTTATTTTTTCTAGAAACAGAGTCTCACAGTGGTCCCTAGGCTGATCTCACATTCTTGGCCTCAAGCGATCCTCCTGTCTCAGCCTCCCGAGTAGCTAGGATTGCAAGTATGAGCCACCATGCTTGGCCAATTCTGGTTCTAGTTTTTGGAGTCAGAGTCCTGTGCTCAAAACTCAGCTCTCTCTCTCTCTCTCTCTCTCTCTCTCTCTCTCTCTCTCTCTCTCTCTCTTGAGTTGGAGTCTCACTCTGTTGCCCAGGCTGGAGTGCAGAAGCATGCTCAAGGTCACCTCAGCCTTCCAAATGGTTGGAACTACAGGCACACATCACCATGCCTGGCTAATTTTTTTTATATTATCTACTGTAGAGAGATGTCTCACCAAGTTGCCCAGGTTGATCTCGAACCTGTTGATTCAGGCAATCCTCTCATCTTGACCTCCCAAAGTGCTGGGATTATAGGCGTGAACCATTGCACCTGGTCTGGTTCTAGATTTTGAAGCCAAGTAGCAGTCATGCACTTCCCATATTTGCTTTTCAGCTCTCCAGTGGCCCCCAGCCAGACATGACCTTGCTTCCCACACAGACATTTGGCAATGTCTGGCTGCATTTTGGGTCATTACAACTGGAAGGGAAGACATACTGAGTAGAGGCCAGGGATGCTGAAAACATCCTACAATGCCCCCCAAAAAGAATGAACCAGTTCAAAATCCCAAGAATATCAGGTTGGAAATCTCCTGGAATTATTTCTTTAACTCCATGATCTGACAGATTTCATTTTTCTTGGGCTATTTTAAGGGTTTTGTCACTTGTAATTAATCCTGACTAATGCAGACACCTACAGCAAAGCCAGTGATGATAGTTGATTATCTATGTTCCCTCAATTTTTACAGAAGTTGTACGGGTCATGTGTCTGCATTGTCATGTCCAGATTACTGATAAGAAAATCATATACAAGGAAATGACTTGCCTAATATCTCACAGACAGCAGATGTCAGAATGACAGTTTTAATTTGGCTCCACCTGACTTCAAAACTTGTTTTTTTAATTTTAAAGAATTATCTTTTTTTTTTGGTAGAGATGAGTCTTGCTATGTTGCCCAGGCTGGTCCCAAACTCCTAGGCTCATGCAATCTTCCTCTCAAAGTGCTAGGATTACAGGCATGAGCCACCATGCCCAGCCAAAAAAAAAGAAAAGTTTTTTATAGCCAGGGTCTTGGTCTCTTGCCCAGGCTAGAGTACAGTGATGCTCACTGAAGCCTCGAATATCTGGGCTCAAGCAACCCTCCTGCCTCCTAAGTAGCTGGAACTACAGGCCCATACCAACACACATGGCTAATTTTTATTTTTGGTTATTTTTTATAGAGACAAGAATCTCACTATGTTGCCCAGGCTGGTCTCAAACTCCCAGCCTCAGGCAATCCTCCCACCTCAACTTTCTGAAACACTAGGATTTTAGGCGTGAGCCACCATACCTGGCCCCAAACTTTTTATAAACTTTATGCTGCTTTAAAGATCATAGGGGTCCACAGGGACCCTGAAAACACACCACCAGTTCCCCACCATGTGCTTTTTAGAAATTCTAGGCTCTTTGGTTACTGCCCTGTGGAGTTATGGTTGGTCTTCTCTTTGACACTGGGTTATTTAACACCATGAGGAAGGTACCTGGTTCCTACTTCTCTTCTACCTCCTTGTCCCCATATAAACCCAGTCCTCAAAACAGCCCTCACTCAGAAGGGTTAAAAACAGCTCTTAGCTGGGCGCAATGTCTCATGCCTGTAATCCCAGCACTTTGGGAGGCTGAAGTGAGAAGACTGCCTGAGTCCAAGGATTTGAGACTAGCCTGGGCAACATGGCAAGACCTCATCTCTACACTCCAGCCTGGATGACAGAGTGAGACTTCGACTCAAAAACAAAACAAAACAAAACCAGCCCTTTCAAAACAAACAGGCCTGGCACGGTGGCTCACGCCTGGAATCCCAGCACTTTGGGAGGCAGAAGCGAGAGGATTGCCTGAGACCAAGGGTTTGAGACTAGCCTGGGCAACATGGCAAGACCTCGTCTCTACAATAAATCAAAAAATTAGTTGGGCATGGTGGTGCACACCTGTGGTTCCAGCTACTTGGAAGGCTGAGGCAGAAGGATCACCTGAGCCCAGCAGGTCAAGGTTGTGTTGGCTGTGAGCGTGCCACTGCACTCCAGCTTGGGCGACAGAGTAAGACTCCGACTCAAAAAAAAAAAAAAAAGATTAGGTCAAGCAATGGTAGTGGGGTATTATTAAAAATGAAAGAGCTGGGTACAGTGGCTCATGCCTGTAATCCCAGCACTTTGGGAAGTCAAGGTAGGAGGATGGTTTGAGACCGGGAGTTCAAGACCAGCCTGGGCAACATAGTGAGACCTTGTCTCTACAAAAAAATAAAATAAAAAAGGTTAGCCAGGCACGGTGGCATGTGCCTGTAGTTTAAGCTACTTGGGAGGCTGAGGTGGGAGGATCTCTTGAGCCCAGTAGGTCGTGGCTGTGGTGAGCTCTGATCGTGCCACTACACTTCAGCCTGGGCAGTAAAGTGAGACCCTGACTCAAAAAAAAAAAGAAAGAGTTCTTTCTAGAAGTCTCCAAGTCAGAGAAAGCTACCCCCTGGGCTCTTTGAATTCTTCCTCTTCCTTCTGTGTGAATCTCCTTCTGAACCACTCCAGGGGGTGTCATTCACACTTTAGTCTAAATGAATGGTTCCTCACCCCTGAGATGTGCAAAGACTTTGTGGTTGTACCTTCTTTCCCTCAGCAGGATCAGGAATTACAAATCCCATCCCCCACTGTAACTCCTTCAGAGAACATCTGGTCATCTGTGGTGGGAAGGTCCCAGCCTCCTTTTAAGCGATTCCCTACCTCCCACACCACCCGTCTGAGAAGATTTGCCCCACAATCCCACAGAATCCTGGCCCTAACTCGGTCCTTCCCAAATGATTTTTCCAGCCCCCAGTGGGGGAGACAGACCCTCCCTGTAGGTCACAGGGTTGGCAGGTAATCCAGATGTCATCCTCCTGAGTGCAAAACCTTACCTGTCACCCAGATCTCAAGAGTGCTGGGATCTGAGGCCCAGAAAGGGGCTGTTGCCAGGTGATATACACAACTGTAGTTCCCGGTGTCCCTGAATGTCACGTTCTGGAGGGAGAACTCCACCCTGTTCTTCTCTGAGTTCCAATACTGGATAGGCGATGGGGTCCCCGCCTTCAGTAGAGCGAACATGTGAAATCCAATGAAATGGCCTGGCCTCTGGCACTGCAGAGTCACCGTCTCTCCTGGGGTCATGATACGACTCTGGTGGGCTTGGAAGGTAGGTTTAGGCATAATCCCTATAAGAGAAAGTAGCGTCTGAGGTCATGGGGGAAGCCTGGGCACCCCTCACCCTTGTTTTCCTGGAGTTGGAATAAATCAAAGACCCCGAGCTCACTCTTTGCCAACTCCAAGGTGGGGAGTTCCCTCCTACAAGGCCTGGAAAAAACCCAGGCAGTCGATTCTTTTTTTTTTGAGTTGGAGTCTCACTCTGTCACCCAGACTGGAGTGCAGTGGCCGCTCCCGGCCACCGCAGCCTCGACCTGCTGGGCTCCAGCGATCCTTCCGCCTCAGACTTCCGAGTAGCCGGAATCACAGGCGCATGCTACCATGCCCGGTTAATTTTTTATTTATTGTAGAGATGAGGTCTCACCTGCCCAGGTGGGTCTCGAACCCGTGGGCTCAGGCAATCCACTCACCTCAGCCTCCCAAAGGCGTGGGATTACAGGCTGAGCCTCCAAGCTCGGCTCTTTTTTTTTTTTTTGTAGTCAGAATTTCACTCTCTTGCCCAGGCTGAAGTGCAGTGGCATGATCACGACTCATCACAGTCTCGAACTCCTGGATTCAGGTGATCCTCCTGCCTCAGTCTCTCAAGTAGCTGGAACTACAGGCATGCGCCACCACACCCAGCTAACTTTTTTGATTTTTTTGGAGAGACGAGGTCTTGCTATGTTGCCTAGGCTGGTCTCAAGCCCCTGGGCTCAAATGATCTCCCAACCTCCGCCTCCCAAAGGACAGGGATTACAGGCCTAAGTCACCACACCTGGCCCAGGCATTCAATTCTGATCCATTCTCTCTCTATCCGCCCCACTGACTACACTGGAGAAGGGATCCCATCCTCCTTCTCTTCCTCTGCTTTCTCCCTCATCCCTGGTGCCCCATATGCCATCCTAAAGAACCCTCTTCTCACCTGTCACCAGCAGTAGAAGGACATCACTGCCCTGTGATGTTCTGTAGGGGACCGTCCATGTGCGGTACTCACAGGTGTACTTGCCAGCATCACTGTCTTGTATATCAGTGAGGTAAAATTCAGCCAGGCCCTCCACAGAAACAGATGCTTTCAAAGAACTCAAAATAAAATTTCCCTTTCTGAGAACAAAGTTCACATCCCTGGCAGGAGTCTGGCATTGCAGTATCACGTTGCTCTTGGGAGGGACCACCGAGCTGGGCCAGGCCACAAGGGAGGGCTTGGGCAGAGACCCTGCAGGGAAGCAGAGCCCAGACCTCACTGCACTCACTCCTGACCCTCAGGAAGCCCATCTGAGAAGGAGGAGGAGGGTCAGGCATGGTGGCTCACACCTGTCATCCCAGTCCTCTGGGAGGCCAAGGCGGGAAGATTGCTTGAGCCTAGGAGTTCAAGACCAGCCTAGGCAACATAGTAAGACCATGTCTCTACAAAAAATAAAAAAAAGGGAGGAGGGAAGGGGTCTTTGGGGTGAGGATCAAGGAAGTTTTCATTGAAGAAACACTCACCATCTCCCCTCATGTCTCCTTGGCCAACACGCAGCCCTGCAAGAGAGTCTTCCGTGAGACAAAGTACCTGCCCCGTCCACGTGTCATCCTGCCCTGACCCTGGGAGCCATCCCAGAGGCTCCTGCTGAGGATGGGTCTCTTGTTGTGGGACTCCCCACAATCCCAGCCTCTTCCCTAAGAACCTACCTGGCATCAACGTCTGTGTGCAACTTGTGTTAATGTCCTGTGCCACACACTTAGGCTGGGCGCAGTGGCCGATGCCTATAATCCTTACACTTTGGAAGCCTGAGGCAGGAGGGTCGCTTGAGTCCAGGAGTTCGAGACCAGCCTGGGAAACATAGCGAGATCCCATCTCTACAAAATATCAAAAAAATTAGGTGGGCGTGGAGGCGAATGCCTGTAGTCCCAGCTACACAGGAGACTGAGGTGGGAGGATCACTTGAGCCCTGGAGGTCGAGACCGTGGTGAGTTCTGATCATGCCATTGCACTCCAGCCTGGGTGACAGAGTGAGACCCTAACTCAGAATAAAACCAATTGCCACACACTTTCTTAGTACCGGGCAGGTACTTCATCTCACAAAAGACTCTCTTGCAGGGCTGTGTGTTGGCCAAGGAGACATGAGAGGAGATGGTAAGTGTTTCTTCAATGAAACCTTCCTTGATCCTTCACCCCAAAGACCACTTCCCTCCCCCACCTTTTTTTTTTTGGGTAGAGACATGGTTTTACTATGTTGCCCAGGCTGGTCTTATGACAACACAGATTCATTATCTTGCAGTTATATGATCAGGAGTCTGAAATGGGTCTCACTGGGATTAACATAAAGGCATTGGCAGGCCTGCATTCCTTTTGCAGGCTCTAGGAAAGAGTCCATCTCTTTCCTTTCTGGCTTCTAGAAGCCACCGACATTCCCCGACCCCCCCACCACCACCACACAGTCACAGTGTGAAAGAGTGAAGATTCCAGCCCCTTACCCTGCTCCAAAGCACCTGCACTGTCCACTACCCCATACGGGAGCAGAGAGACGCCATTGAGGACAGACATTTCCCCGACTCTGGAAATACCAGGTGAGACACTCTACACCTGGAGTTCTGGAATCTTGAGGCTTTATCTGCACATGAAGCAGAAATCCCTATTCACACCACAACCTTATGTCTAAGACTGGAGTTCCCCAAACTGCAGCCCAACCCGGCCCCCCACCTGTTTTGACAAATAAAGTTTTATTGGAACTCAGCAATACCCATTCATTGACATATCGTCTGGGGCTGCTCTTGGGCTGTGGTGGAGGAGTTGAGTAGTTGCCACAGAGACTGTGCGACTCGTGAGCCTATCAGATGACCCAGCCCTTCACATAGAAGTTGGTCAACACCTACCAAGGTCATTGAATTCACAGCTTACTTGTCTTCTCAAGGTTTTCTCAACCACAGCTCCCTTCATTTACTCTCCTAACCCATCTCTTCCCAAGTCCCCAAATCATGACCTTTTACATTTCCTAATATGGTTCAGTGGGAAAGTATGGTCTTTGGGTCTGCACACCAAAATGAGTATGTAAATGTATTAATAATTTAAATTACATAAATAGATTAAATATTAATTAATCATATATTAAATATATACTAAATATATTGCCTATTTTATATATTGAATATATTAAATATAAATTATATTATACACTAAATATGTTATTTATTTTATGTATTAAGTATATAATATATTAAATATATTATATATTAAAATACATAATGAATTAAGTATTAAATAAATTAAATTTATTTATTTTTGAGTCAGATTCTCACTCTGTCACCCAGGCCGGAGTGTGGTGGCATGATCATGGCTCACTGAGGCCTCAAACTCCTGGGCTTGAGTGATCCTCCTGCCTCAGCCTCCTGAGTAGCTGGGACTACAGGACCACCTCGCCAGGCTCCCTCAATTACTCTTAAAAAACCCTATCTCAGCCGGGCTCGGTGGCTCAGCCTGTAATCCTGAGCCTTTGGGAGGCTGAGGTGAGTGGATTGCCTGAGCCTGCGGGTTCGAGACCCGCCTGGGCAGCGAGACCTCATCTCTACAATAAATCAAAAAATCAGCCGGGCGTGGTAGCGCACGCCTGTAGTTCCGGTTACTCGGAAGGCTGAGGCGGAAGGATCGCCGGAGCCCAGCAGGTCGAGGCTGCGGTGGCCGGGAGCGGCCACTGCACTCCAGTCTGGGTGACATAGTGAGACTCCAACTCAAAAAAAAAACAAACCCTATCTCCTGATACAGTCACCTTCTAGGTCCCAGGGGTTAGGATTTCAGCATATAGATAGATTTGAGAAAGGGGAGGTACAATTTGGTTCATAACATTCCTTTAAAACAATTTGGTTTTATATTTGCACATGAGAAATCTGAGACACTGAAGCGGTTTTCCAGGGTCACTCAGTAAGTGGAGAAGCTAAATTTAAATCCTGGCCTGTGGTTGGGCATGGTGGCTCACCCCTGGGAATCCCACACCTGCAATCCCAGAACTTTGGGAGGCCGAGGCAGGAGGATTGCTTGAGTCCAGGCGTTCAAGACCAGCCGGGGCAACTTGGCAAGACATTGTCTCCACAATAAATAAAAAAATTAGCTAGGTGTGGTGGTGCATGCTTGGACCTCTAGCTACTTGGATGACTGAGGTGGAAGGATCACCTAAGCCCAGGAGGTCGAGGCAGCAGAGGACATGAGTGTGCTACTGCACTCCAGCCTGGGTGACAGAATGAGACCCCAATCAAAAAAAAAAAAAAGTTCTGGCAGAGGTGAGAGGATTGCCTGAACTCAGGGGTTCAAGATAAGCCTGGGCAACTTGACAAGACTTCATCTCTACAATAAATCAAAAATTTAGCAGGGCATGGTGGCACACACCTGTAGTTCCAGCTAATTGGAAAGCTGAGGTGGAAGGATCTGAGCCCAGCAGGTTGAGGATGCGGTGGCTGTGAGTGTGTCACTGCACTCCAGCCTGGGCAACAGAGTGAGATTCCAACTCAAAAAAATAAAAGAGTAATTAAAGTAAAATGAAGTCACTTAGGGTGGGCTCTAATCTAAGGTGACTGGTGTCCCTTATAAGAAGAGATTAGGGTCAGGCTCCATGACTCAGTGTGTAATCCCAGCACTTTGGGGGGCCAAGGTGAGTAGATTGCCTGAACCCACGGGTTCGAGACCTACCTGGGCAACTTGGCAAGACCTCATTTCTACAATAAATCAAAAAATAGCTCGCAGTGGTAGCACGTGTCTTATAGTTCCGGCTACATGGAAGGTTGAGGCGGAAGGATCACTGGAGCCCAGCAGGTCGAGGCTGCGGTGGCCAGGAGTGTGCCACTGAACTCCAGTTTGGGCGACAGAGTGAGACCCCAACTCAAAAAAAAAAAAGGAAAAAGAAAAAGAGATTAGGACACCGACCCACACAGAGGGATGACCCCACGTGAGAACACAGGGAGAAAATGGTCGTCTGCAAGCCAAAAAGAGGCCTCTCAAGAAACTAACCTTGATCTTGAACCTCAGCCTTCAGAACTGTGAGAAGATACATTTCTGTTGTTGAAGCCACCCAGGCTGAAGCACTTTGCTAGGCAGCCCAGGTATCACAAGGATACAAAATCACTTTAGGCCGTGCAGCGACACAAGGTTGAATAACATCAAATCTGTGGGAGAAAGCTGTTCTCTTCTCCACTCCCTCTCAGTGCTGATCACATCCAAGAACACCCCAGTGTGCTGCCCTGCAATCCATTTCCCAAATTCTCTCGTATCCCTCAGAAACAGGGCAGGGGAGAAGTGTGGCCTCGTGCCTGTAGGCAGACATCAGCATCAAGCTGGAACACAATGTTATAGGCGGTCCCTGACTTACAGTGATTCAACTTCACCACAGTGCAGAAGTGACACACGTCAGTAGAGACAGCATGTCAAGTACACAGCCATACTGTTTTTCTCCTTTGGCACAACATTCAAGAGATTACAGGAGAAATTCGGGCCGAGCATGGTGACTCATGCCTGTAATTCTGCACTTTGGAAGGCTGAGGCTGGGAGGATTGCCTGAACCCAGAAATTAGAGACCAGCTGGGCAACATAATGAGACCTCTCTCTACAAAAGATCAAAAAGATAGCTGGGTGTGGCGAACAAACCTGTTGTCCTAGCTACTCAGGAGGCTGAGGATGGAGGATCACCTGAGCTGGGTTTGAGGCTGCGGTAAACCGTGATTGTGCCACTGCACTCCAGCCTGGGCAACAGAGTGAAACTTGACTCAAAAAAGAAAATACAGTAAAATAAATTATATGATCTATTGAACACTTTATTATAAAATAGACTTTGTGTTGTGCTCACTTCGGCAGCACATATACTAAAATTTAACAATACATTAAATTAATGGAAAGTAAATAAATAAAAGTGGATTTGTGTTATTGTAAAAAAAAACTAAAATAAAAATAAAAGAGACTGTGTTCTATGATTTTACCGCCCATAGGCTAATATAAGTGCTCCAAGCACATTTAAGGTAAGTAAGGCTAAGCTAAGGTGTTCAGTGGGCTAGGTGTTTAAATGCATTTTTAGCATTGATATTTTCCAAGTCATGGTAGGTTTAACAAGACATAATTCCATCCCAAGTCAAGGAGCATCTGTATTGTTTTATTTCCCCACTCTGCGCTGATAATTATCCTCTGTTTTTGATAAAGAATAATGTTTTGATACATATAGAAGTGTTTTACAGGCCAGACATGGTGGCTCATGCCTGTAATCCCAGCACTTTGGGAAGCCAAGGTAGAATTGCTTGAGGCCAGGGGTTCGAGACCAGCCTAGGCAGCATAGTGAAACAAAATTTAACTGGATATGGTGGTACATGCCTGTAGTTTCAGCTACCAGGAGGCTGAGATAGGAGGATCACCTGAATCCAGGAAGTCGAGGCTGCAGTGAGCCTTGATTGCACCACTGCACTCCAGTCTAGGTGACAGAGGGAGACTCTGTCTAAAAAAAACAAAAAAACAAAAAACAAAGCAATAACAACAATAAAAAAAACCCAGAAGAAGTGTCTTACAAATCTACTTTTAAAATAAAGTATAAGAAAATAATTTTTAAAAACCTGGGCCAGTTTGAAGAAAACTATCACATGGGAGAGAGTACAGGTATCACATACATATATCTTTGGGAAGTTCAAGAATGAATGGCTTTTATATTATTATTATTATTTGTTTGAGTCAGAGTTTCACTCTGCCGCTCAGGCTGGAGTGCAGTGGCATGCTCACGGTCACTGCAGCCTTGACCTGCTAAGCTCAGGTTTCCTTCTGTTTCAGCCTTCCAAGTAGTTGTAACTAAAGGCCCATGCCACCATTTCCAGCTAGATTTTTTTTTTAATTGTAGAGACAAGGTCTCATCAAGTTGCCCAGGCTAGTCTCAAACCCCTGGGCTCGGGCAATCCTCTTGTTGCTGCCTCCCAAAGAGCTGGGATTACAATTGAGAGCCACTGCACCAGCTGGATTTTATTTGCTTATGTGTTTTTATTTTCATTTTTTGATTTTTTTTCTAGAGACAAGTTATCACTCTGTCACCCAGGCTGGGGTGCAGTGGGCCGGACAGAGTAGGCAGACCAGACTAGGAAAACTTTGAGCTGTCGGAAAGTTCCAGGCTCATGGATGCTTGTGGCAGCTGGTGCAGACCACTCCTGCAAGTGGGTAGCAAGCTATGGAAAACTTCACACCACTGTAAAGCTCAGGCTCTTATCAGAGACATCAGCAGTGCTGCGGTCCATCTACCCAGCATGCTCGTGTTGGGAGAGCTGATCACTGAGGCAGGAACTGGCTCAGAGACCCCCAGAGCATGCACACCGATAGCCAATCTTGAGCTGAGATAACCATGAGTCTTCATTGTAATACTATTAGTATAAAATTACCCTGGGGCACCTCCCACTCCCATCACACACCTGATGCCATGACAGCCCCGTGTGACCCTGCAAGGTCTGAAACTCCCCCACCTGACACGAGGGAGAAGTAACAGAGACTCAGCCCTGAGTCCACCCACTTCTAGGAAAAGCCCACCACTAACCTCACTC